TCAATGAAATTTTGAATTAAAAGAATTTTAAAAAATGAAAATTCTTTTTAATAAAATATTAATCTATTTGAGTTTCTAAAACCAGCATATTTTTTAAAATTCTCCAGTCTACGTATCGCAAATACATCTTTTCGCGTTTCACGAATTACATGTCTTTTATCTAAACTCAAACCTCTAAATGTTATGGGCCATCGGAATTTCACTGAATATTTTATCTTCTTGCGGCAGGCTTTCTTTAATGATAAGAAGAATGTATGTATATACGACTTGTCGGAACTTTTTTGAATGAAGAATGATCTTGGTTATTTATTTAATTTTCTATCGCATTTTAACAGGTATATACCTAGATGCCTATCCGGTAGCATCCGGTATATCAAAGAACATCTAAAATGACAGAATTATCCATAAAATCTTAATAATTATTACAGTTTAAGTTGTTTTATATGATTATTGTAACAGACATTAGCATAAGGAAAAACATTATTTTTGGAATTACGTAATATACTGCTTGTTGTAATCTTAAATAGATGTGTTTAAGTCGAATTACAGAAAATGATTAGAAAAAAAAAAGAAAGATGGGTTTTAATTGATGGTTGTATAACTATGAGGTACTTTGCAGTACTGCATACGGTATGTGTCTTAAATAGAGGTAGAGAATTAAGGTGTATCTAGAATTTAATGAAACAAACACCTTTTTCTAATCTGTAAAAACTGTGATGTAATATTTTACCAAATTCTACCGAATTCGGTGTGGAACAAACTATAAAACTATGTGAAGAAACACTTTATTTTAAATTAACACCAAAGCAATTGTTCACATATACTTAAAAGTGTGTAGTTAAATCTAAACTCGATTAAAAGAGATTGCTTTTACCAAGCTCGTGTACTTTCAAACCGTTCATGAATTATTTTCACTTCCAAAAATCCTAATTTTAGCTACATTTGAAAATCTTCAGATGACAAAGATAGATAGTTTACCATATAGCTTACTGTTGTTTAAGTTTGGTGTTGTATTGAGCACTGCTAAGCATTCCGCAGTAAGAGAAGTTCATTGTTATGGGTTGAATTTGTTATCTTGCACGCTCTATGCATGTACAGAAACAAATATTAGTCGTTGCAAAATGTATGTATGTTTGTTGTAGTTTTAAAAAGATAATTACATTTTAACTTATAAGTATCTGTATATAAATCGCTAAGAAAAAGTAATACTGTCAAAATTACCAAAACATGGTAAAACTTATCGTGTTTCTTGCTCTATGGCATGATAATTAAATATGATAATTTTTTCCAAAGATGGTAGTAGTGTTGTTAAGGGAAGTCTCAGATTATGTAAATTTTGGTAAAATCTAACAATAAAATGCGGTTTCATTACTATGTTGTTTGATATTAAATGTGGAAACAAAATTAGAGCGTGGTGTAAAGACCATTTATTCAGTTAAATTTACTATTTTCTGCTTTTTACTCAATGTATTGTGAGAGCTATTAATACTAGAATCTCCGATAAACCGTTTCTATATATAGAGAGAGAAATTACCAAATAAATTATTTAAATATTTTAAATATGTATATTTTGGTTTTCTTACCAAAATTAGGTTTTTTCTAGTGTATTTTTTTATTTAATTTTTTTCATAAATGTTATTACAATACAAGTACAATGAATTTAAAATAATAATTTTTTCTCCGTGAACAATTGTATTAAATGATTTTATAATATTTAATTTCTATCCACTTGTGTTATGTTAAGCCTAATTCGAATTGGTCTTAATATTCTCTTTTCTATACGTAGTGTACGATTTACAAACTAAGTTTATTTTAAGAATTAGTGTGTATATGCATTATAAACTAATTATTCTGACTTATTAATTGCACCGGAAAATATCTTTACCAATTTTAAGTGTATTATATCGTATTGTAACTACAAACGTAATCAGCACCAAAAATGGTGGCAACTAATTTCCATTAAAAGTTTATTATAAAAGAACATTTCTGGTGCTACACGACACTAAAAACTGTTCTTGAGGTTTGCCTACACCAAGAATTTTCACTGCCGTTTCGCTAAACCACTTTTGGTGAAAAATACTTGCCTCCATTTATGGTATTGAGATAGGCATAATTTTTTTGCAAAGTAAAGAACAAAAGATTTTAAATACAAAATGCAATAACAATGCAGTGTTGTTTCTTTCGGACCGTTTAATTTAAACCGTCATAATATCGTTATTATTTTCCGCAACAATATGATGCAAAGTTGAACCATATTATCGTGTTTCTTAAATTGTAATCGTTATCCTTCATTATCGTGTTTTTTAAACATGATTATTTTAAAATTGTGTTTCAATTTGAAGGAAAATATGATTCAGTTTAGCATTTCATTAAATTTACAACAAATTTGTGCCGTATAATAGTTCAAAGTACCAATATTATGGTTTTATTGTTCTATGTTTTATTGTAATGAATTTATTGTTCTCAGAAATTAAATTTACCAGATAAAAATATATTTCTCAGTTTTAAGGGAAAATTTAGATCATGTTAATGTAGTTAATTTTTAATCCAAATTATGTAATAATTTTAATATTCGACTTTAAATATTCTTTTTATTTCATTTAATTTTAATTGTTATTTCTGGAGAAATTAGCAACGCATCTGCTTCTAATTTTATTATTAGCATCTCTATCAGACAAAAACGGATTCTATTTCTCCATTTTAATTTACAAGTTATATTAACACAACTAATTTATTTATTAAACAACTAATTAATATCTATGAGTATTTTTTGTTTCAAGTTACATACTGAAATGCTTTTTATTCAACCTAGTTACAAAATTTTAGAATCCAAGTTATAAGTGGTTTTAAAACTTAAACTTTGAAAAGTCTTAAGAATAGATTCAAATTTGAATTTATTCTAACTAGATTCAATAAAACACATTTCAATGTACTTTGAAGCAAGTAATATTCTTCAGATAATTTTCTTAAAGGAAGTACAAGCCCTTTTTTTGTTCGAAAAGAACACGTCAGCAACGTTATTAAATTTATTTTACTCTGTTGCTAAACATCCTAAGCTCCGTTAATGGGCTTAGTAAAAGCTCAATAACAATTATATCCACCATCAAGAAAAGGAGAATACTCTGCAGAATTGCAATGAATAACCTTAATTATGATAAGGTAGATTGAACTATGTTTGTAATTTGAATTCTTAAGCCTAACAATGGCCCACCTTAAGTCGTCATATGAGCCCGCGGTAGCAATAAGGATTTATTGTTAAGAAAAATAATAATTGGTATAGCTTTTCTTACCGTTTTTTCGAACGATTAAGTGTTATAAAATGAGTGGTATTGTTTGACCTCACGTAAAGAAAGTTCATTGACATTTTTTTTTAAATTTCTAAGCTGAATTTTCATTTATATGTCAGATTGGGTGTGACCAGAAAATATTATAAGTCAGCTATAAAACATTTTGCTAGAATAAAACTCGTATGCAATTGACCAAAAATATTTTTATTAACATATCTAATTTTAAGTAGGTATTATTTTAAATATGGCGAAACTTCTTAAGAATTTCGAAATATAACGTATGTCCATTATCTATGCTCCTATAATTAATTTGAATTAGTTTTTTAAAAAAAATTGCTTTGTTATTTTTTAAATGATTGTTTGAATAGATCTAAATAAGAAATGTTAATATCAATAACGTTTGGAAAAGCTTATCTATTATGCTGAAACAATTAGATACTTCAAATTATAAAAAAGTCTAGGAACTTATATCTAAAGTTCATGTTAAGTATCTGTTAAAGTTAAAGTTAAAGTATCTGTTAAAGTTCATGATAAGTTGAAATTTGTATAAATATGTATAGATTATGATATAAATGAAGTGAATTTATTTGAATTTTATGATATTGTGATTTATGATTTGCATTTTATGATATGAATAAAGTGAGCTTTAGCAAATACCACAGACATATTTTTTTCTGAAAAAAGAATTTTTTAAATTAACTTTAATGCATTTCTTGGAACATTTATTTCAACTGAGAAAATGAATTTTTTATTTCAAGTATTTCTTTTGCCTTTATACAGCATTAAAAAACTATAGAATATTGCGTAATTAGCATCTTTAATTTTTAAAGTTTTCGCAAAATATCCGCAAACTAACTACATAACCTAAAATTCGAAGCAAAAAAGAAAATTATTTAAAAACTTAACTAAATACTATCAAAATGTTATACTGTACAGTAGATGGCACAGTACCGAAAAACAAGAAAACCGGTTAATTTATCGAAAAAATAGAAATTCGTTTCTACTTATAATATTGTTTCAACTTGCTTTCGACGTTATGCATTTTGACATAATTTTTAACTAGAAATCTAAGAATGTGTGTTAAGGGTGATAGCATTAAAATTTCTGTTTTAGTTACTATTTAATTTTTTTAAAGGGAAATTAACAGCTATTTTTGAATTACACTGAGAAAAAATGTATGGGCAAAACTACTAGAATATGGTATAATTTGCCGTGTTTCTAGCTCTATGGGAACACCAAAAAGCTTGGTATTTAAAGCCGAAGCACTTTGTTAATGGTTTTGATAGAATTGACAATATAATATGATTTTATAATATGTGATAAAATTTGATAATTTTATTATGATATCTTAGAGCATGTCACAAAAATCATCTGTGCTGTTAAATTTACTTTTCACTTTTGTATTTTTTATTAAATATGTGGTAATAAGAACTATTATGACTGTTAGATTATTAATGACATAACGGTTATACATTATACCCGTTATAATGTGAATGAAGAAACTAGCAAATGAATGGTTTAAATACCGTATATTATGTTTTAATATCATCGTGATTTTTTTTGCCATAAATTGTGGTAATTTTACCAGAATTCCATCAGTGATGCTATTCACTGTTCCAAACAAATTCATATTGATTTTTTATTGTTTCCAATGTATGTTTTTATCTGATATAGTTAATAACTTTTATATTTATTTATTTTTCTCTGATGCAGGTAATAATGAACTGTCTAATCAAAGTTTCAGACTTAACTGGGCTTATATAAGCTTTGAAAAAGATAAATATTTTGTTAAGGAAACGGATGAGTTTCTTTATATTAATTTGCTACGAAGAGGATATGTTGGAGAAACATCTTTTGTTGGTAAGTAAAAATTTATAGTGTATAACTTTAAGTGATATTTTAAAAGTAAAGTAGTTATGGTCCACAAAAAAACAAAATTTCTACTATATGTGAAAAATTCCGGATCAAATTACGGTACAAATTATATAGATATACTCAGGGTACCAGTACTACTTTTTACCGGAAAAGTCGTTTTTATTATAAAATTTGACTGTATAAAAATTCTGCTATATCGTAATTTTTACAGCAATATTTATTGAAAACTCGCTGTATCTCTGTAACTAAATAAATATTTTTGTAAAAATTACGTTATGAAATTTTACGGTAAAAATGGGATTTTACGGAGGATGCACTTAGGGTGCCAGTACTTTTTATCGTAAATTGTTCCAGAATTTTTGCATTTTGGTTGCGAAAAGAAGGCTAGCTTCCATAGATATAATGTAAACCAGGCCTTCGAGGTTTGGTGGTGTATAAAGGAAGAAACAATATTTAGAGGCACAGCGACAGAGTTTCTTGAAACGGGTTTGCACCCTCGTCTTCTTCCAACTTTGGTTGACGAGTTGAGAAGTTTTCTCTTTTTATTTATTGTTGGCTTGATCTGTATTTTTACTTCATTGATAAACATTATCATACTATTAGTTAAAATATTTTTTTGAGAATACATTTATATCATCCAAGTTGATTAAATCTGCTAACACATTTTGACGCAGAAAGAAAGAATAAAATTTTGGTTGGCAAGAGGCAGCGTCTCAACCGTATATATATAGAGTTATACCAGTTCACAGGTGGCACACCTCCTTATTGTCACTTTGCTTCTTATGCGCATGAGCAGGACCTTAGTACATGTGATGCTCTACTAAATCTGAGTATGTTGTTCTCCCTGTAAGTTGTTTTTCTGGTATAGCATATCGCAGCGAGGAGTTCCCTGCGTTAGTTACCTATTCGAAGAATACACTTCTACCTTTATAACTGCGTTTCATTTCTGTAAAATTACTTAAATATAACTGTAATGTTTAAACTTTTATTATCTAAAAATAAATCAATAAAATGATCTAAAATGTGTTTGCTTTAAAGTGTTAATTTTTTTTTAACTGATCTGATCAAACGATTATAATTATTATTGGAATCAGCTACAGCAATAAAGAAATTATTGCATTTTTCAATCCCAGATTTGTTTCTAAACTACAGGAGATTTATCCACGATTGTTGTCACCGGAAAGAGACATTTGGATTAGTAATCAAGCAGCATTGTTTTTTTGTGCCGAAGCCTTTTTCATGGAGGTTTCGCTTTTACGGATGTTATTTTATATCATTAAGTATTCCTTGCTTGTTAAATACGATTACTTGCAAAATAATTGGCAGTCGTAAATGTTTTTTTTAAATTGTAGAAACTGCTATATAATTTGCAGAATTCCCCCTTTTCATTTTTAAGAAATCTGTAATCAAAGATCGAAAGATGGTATGCAGTGCAACGATGACATCATCCAAATTTTTAGTAACAGGGTATTCTTAAAATATTTAGGGTTGTTTAAAAAATCATCTTTATACAACCATTTCTTTTTCAATTTTTTTTTTAAATATGCGAAATTTTGATTTTAAAAAACAGTTTTAAAACACTAAAATATTAAACTTTAGCTACGACTCTTTAGGCGCCAAGGCGACCAGATACCACAGAATCCTTACGATCCTTGACAGTATAATGCGAGTAGAAGCTGTGGAGGAATGAAAATAATGTTTATTTGTGATTGAAAAATTACAATGGGGAGCATTTTTTATTTTATTTTCTGTTGCATGAGATTTTTTTAACAAATATTTTTACGTCGCTGATTTCAAATCGGTTTCTCTTCGCAAGCTACTGTTTTTAGATGACAATTTTAGTCTATTTTTCGTCGAAATGTACAAGCTTAAAAATTTTATTTATAACAGGAGTTCGCATAAGTGTTGTGAAAAATTTCTATGGGAGTTAGAACGCATAGTTAGGATTAAAATGCATAAACACTCACTCCCGGGAATGTCGTTATGCGCTTTTAAGGGCCCCTACCTATTATGAACTGTTGCTTCATGTTTTTCTGTACGCGTATTACAGGGAAGCGCCTTTTGCTGCTCACTGCGATATTTCCGGACATGAGTTCCCTTGCAATTTTACTCCTGATGATGTGTATTAAGCCTGCCGCAGCACTTACGAAATTCCCTGTTATGTATAATGCTTCTAAATTGGTACTTTTGTAGAAAAAAAAATAGATTAAAAATGTTATTTAAAAAATTTGTAACTTTCGGAGTAAAAATAATTTCAGACTTGAAATCCCCACATTCGAATTAGACAAGATCAAGTATCTGCATTAACCATAACAAAAAAATTGTACCCCTGTGTTTTTAAATTGATTTTCATAAATTTATTAAATTAATTTTCATGTTATTAATTTAATTCTCATCATTAATTAAGATATTGTATTATTTTTAAAATATTGCAAAAATACATAAATAAATAAGAATAAAGAATTCTCTCTTTGTTCTAAGAAAATATACATCAGCGAATTCGAAATTTGTGTTACAGAAGGCAATTTATAATCGTTTCCCCCTTGAATAACTTCCTTTCTTCAACCATTTTCCTCTCAAATAAAGTTAGACCTAAGTCTTTAAACAAACTCTGCCGTCTTACGGTAAGATGTTTTTAAACTGCTCTAAAAATATCGCTATCTGATAGTGTGTCGATTTAACAAACATATTCGATTTGTGTTAATACACGCGCATCTTGTATCTAACAGGAACGTCTTAGGAGGTAAATCGTTCTTTTAAAGTCCTTATCAAAAAAGTCGTGTTTTATATAGGTGAAAAACGTGATGGTAGAACAAGATTCTTAATTCAGAAATGTTTTTTACTCCGAATACAAAAAAAAAAGGAAAAACAAAACATATTGATTTATAAATTAGTATTTATCCATTATAATTGTTTATTTCGGAAAAATAAATATTATTCTTTTTGAAAAATTTTATCCTATGCTCTCGATTAGCAGGAATGGACTGAAAATGACTCCTGCTATATAAGAGATCTTTCTGAATAATCAAATTTAAGTAAATTATGAAAGAAAATTTTATTTACTTTTTTGAAATTTAAAATAATTTTTAAAACCTTAAATAATATTAAATTTTAAATTATTTAATCTGAATGCAGAAAACAGAAAATTATTTTCCTATAGGTTATTAATTATTTAACTAAAATATAACCCAGTAGATGGCAACTTTACGTCAAACTTTGTATTTTCATTTTCATTTGCTTGGCATAGAAAGCTTATCCTTTTTTAAACTTTGTAGAAATATTAGTATGCCAGGTTTGTTTCCTTAAAGATTGAATAAAGGCATGCAAAAAACTTGACAAAAGAATTTCTTTTTTCTTTCTTTTACTGCAAACCATCTTTTTGCCACTTTTTATTCTAGCATGGTGCAGGTTCTCAAATGTAACATTTTGTTTGTGCTGAAAACTCAATGATCAGGCAAACTTTTACTTCTTCAGTTTGGAAGAAAAAAATATATAAAAGCGTGCGCAAATAATAATCATAAAATCTAAAACAAACCTTGAGAAGGTGAATTTATCTTCGGTATGAGAATGTTTCTCTTGGTTTGGGAATGATGCTTTAGCCTTGATTTCATAAGGTTTTTCTAGCCTGGTTTTTTAATGGCAAATTCAATTTCGATATGAGAGAGTTGTCTATGCAAATTTAAACCGAACTCCGTAGGTCGTAAACTAGCACTGTTAAATTTAACATTGTTTCATGCTAGCATGGCTTATTTGTTAATCATTTATAAACCTTGTTGGGCTTTGTGACAAAGACTGTTGCTGTCACTAAAATAAACCTTACACTGTTAACTGGGAAGGAAATTTTAATATTATATATTTAAATTTGCAATTACTAGAGGTAAGATTTAACATTATGCCATCTCGGTCTTCTGTTACTAAAGATGGCATTTACCAATTTATCAATTCTGATAAGTTCTAAATTAACGGCCGAAGAAAGAAGATAGATTGCCTGTGGTTTAAAGTCACAGTCATGTGTATTCCAGTAGAGTTGAGAGATAAACGTAAGACTGAGATTAAAAATTACATCTATAACGATCTTACGTAACCCCAGAAAAAGGGAGGAAATGTTCTTGGGATAAGTGATAAGTGATTAGAAAGATGAGCAGGGGACAGTTGACTTCTTGTTAATTATTTAAAAAAAAAAAAAAGATGAAAATTTGATAAATCCAATATTCACCAGTGTACAAAATCACAAAGAACTATTAACAACAATTAACTACTTACAAAACTAACAATTTGCAATGTTTATAGGGGAAATTAGTAGTACAATATATCAAGACTCGAAGTCAGCTGTATAAAATTATAGCAATATAGTAGAAAAGGTTAAATGTATTTGTATAGTCAAATATAATTGCATAGTCATTTGTATAGTCATATATTATATTATTAGCATAGTCATTTGTATAGTCATATATAATTTTGTATATTTTTTATTTTGCAGGCATGCGTTTGAAGAACGTGTCAGCCAAGATGGGATTGGACTTCAGTAGTTTTTATGCCCATCAAGTTCAGTTCAATCCTGGTCAATCGGAGGCCAAATGGAAATTGAAGATTTTCGATGACAGTCGCTTTGAAGGGAATGAAGTTTTTGAAGTTGAACTTGAAGAGCCCGTGTCAGCTGCTGTAGAGAACCCAAAACTGGCACAGATAATAATCGACGATAAAGAAGATGGTAAAATTTTTAATAAGTTTATTTTCTGAAAAATTAAGCAAGTGGTTCTTAAGGTGGAGAAACAGTTTAAGTTAGATTTTTTATACAGACTTATTTTAATATGAAGAAAATTATTATTAAGTATTCTTATTTGATACTAAGATATTTTAGGCATATTTTCATACTAACAAAACATTTTTTGACAAATTCATTCATTAATTTCCACTAAATCAATTTACATTTCCGGACAAATCAATGAAATCACCTATAGTTTTTTAAAAAAAAATATTTTTTCAATTTTCTACAACAACTGCTTTAATACAACCCTGGTCAGGAAAATGTTATAAGAGTCCTGCGATTGATAAAGATAGCTAAATTTGGCTTCGGTGGAAAAAAATGAACTGTTTCATATATTACGGGGACTGGCAAGTAATGTCGTTTCGGCTGATTAAATATTCGCTAGTCTTAAAAACCAATTCATTTTTTTTTCGATATATTTTGATTCATTTTCGATCCGGCATTGAAAAGTTGCTGCTAACGAGGATGAATACATTATTGATTAAAATTAAAATCTTGGTAATAAGTATCAAATGCACCGAATCGACATTACTTTCCGGTCCCTCTAATACAAATACAACTCATTTATTTCGTTATTTTACTGTCCTTTATTTTATTTTGTATTCTTTTTTTAATCAAAAACATGCAAAACACGCTATTGCTTGTTAAACTGCCTTTTAGTTAAACAAAAACTCTCGCAAAGTTTTGATTACTGCATCTATGCAAAATACGCATTATTTTAAGTGAATCATATGAACGATTGCTTTAAAGATATAAGTAGTTAAATATCCGAATCATCTGTGAGAAGAGGTTCAATTTAATTAAAATAATGTTAGATTCAAACGTTATAAAACATTTCATAGTCAGATTACGGTTAGTGACCGACAAAAGGTATTTCAGTAACTGATCGTTAAAATGAAATTAATAAATATAAAAGCTATCTTGGGCCTGCTCTTAAATTTTTCTCATAAAATTTATGCCGATTAATTGTAATTCAACATAATTCTCGTAAAAATTATCTTCAGTTCAAGCCCTGACATTGTTTGAGACTCAGTGTGTTGAATCAAAGCGAATCATGGTGCGAAGCAAGATAATATACAGCTGCCACAGGTCAAAAAGTGAGAAAGTAGACTGTTCGTTGTCCTTGGTCTCCAGTGAAGAGAATATGTGCAAGAAAAATGTCATTTTGTTTGTCCATGATTGGAATCGAACTCGGAACCTTATAGACCGTAGTCGTATGCTTTAAGCCTGATGGAAAAAGTATACAGCACCACGATCACAGTGAGTTTGTGAAGTTTACTTACTGGTACCATCTAATGAAGTTTTTTGAAGCTCAACTAATAGTAAAAGTTATTTATTTCAAGTTGAAAAAGCGCTAAGTCCTTTTTTTGTTATGAAGCAGATTTAGGTTACAAGATTTTGGTTTTGCAATAGGCAATATATCAATTTAAAAGCTTCTGGTTATGAATATTTTAATATAATTCGAATTAATAATATATATTATTTTTATCAATTCAAGCTTTGGTTCCTACATTTTTTTTCATTATGACTCAATTAAAAGTAAGTTATTAAGGCAGAGTTAATAGAAAACAAATAAAGAAAGCTGTCCAATAAGTTAAGGGTCACCTCTCTATATTTTACGAAAATTTCAAAAATTGCCATGATATTGTGATATTGTATGGGGCAGTAATCATTTTAGAAGAAACTACTTTTTTATCAATAAAAAATTTAAAACAAAAAAATTTAGTTGAAATTGCTATTCTTTCTTTTTTCCCCTTTGCTTGAATTAAAAATTCAAATTGACTTCCTGCGAGTGTTTGCTGTATTTCGTTCTTTTTAAATACTGTAAAAACAACGGGAAAACTAAAATCAATGAACAGCAGTCTTTCTCCTTATAAATATTATTTTTCTGGAAAAATTTAATTGCTAATACATAGTTGATTCGATTACTGATTCTTTGACCTGATTTTACTTGTTTAATAGCAGAATGATTTTTTTAATGGTGGGCACTTGGAACTATTGTCCATTGGCCACAGAAAGTGCCAGAGCTGCTAACTCTCTTTTCGTAACCCAGTGGGCACCTGTGGCGAATCCACGGCAGTGGAGCAGCGTCGCCCACGTCGCACTACCACAACCCGTTTATAGGGCGTGTCACATTCACACAATCACACACAAAGGGCATAGAACACAGATAGAGAGAAAGAAACATCCATGCCTTGTCCGGGATTCGAACCCATAACCTTTCTGATGCAAGGACAGTTCCCTGCCCCCTACACAGGCCGGTCGGCTTAATAGTAGAATGCATTATAATGCATTGGATGTGTGAATTTTCTATTTTCACATACATTCTTCCTATAAAAATATTTATTATTATTCGCTAAAGCAAATTCAATTTGCCACAAATAACTTTGACGGAAAGAAATGTTATATCTTAAAGTTGCTATACATTTGATTTTTATAAATAGCCATACACTTAAATTCTACATATATACATACATATGCTTGCTTATATACATACATATATATATATACATATATATGTATATTTGCTCCACGCTGGTAAGGATATTTTCTGCTTTCTTTTCTTTCAAACTAATTTTCAACTGTATTTTTATTTTTTAGCTATATAAACACATTATTAAGAGTAATTTTTATCTTAGGATACATTTTTATTCAGAAATATCGGCTATTTAGGCTATGAAATCATTATTAAATGTGCTTTTAATACTAGATTTTCATTTACAGAATCAACTGTATTTATACCAGAAACAGTGTATGAAATTAAAGAAAATGTCGGTAATTTTATGGTACCAATAAAGAGAGTAGGGGACATTTCACAGGAAATGATGGTACTTTGTTCAACCGAATCAGGTAGATATATTTATTTCAAAATTATCATACATACTTAAAAAAATTTCAGAATTTTAATTTTGTTAACCATTTTTCCTTTTATGACATGGAGGTCTTACTATGAGCTGTTTAGTATTGAGGAGTTAACTCCATTAGATTATTTTAATAAACTGAACTGGACTAATTTTTCTATATCTAATTCATAGGAACCGCTCAAGGTACTTCTGCCAAACCAATTCTTTCTTATACTGATTTCATCAACAGACCAGAAGATCATAAAAATATCATTCAGTTCCGAATTGGAGAAGAAATTCAATTTTGTAAACTGACCATTATTGATGACTCATTATATGAAGAAGAAGAACAGTTTACCGTAAAGCTCAGCTCTCTAATGGGTGGTAAACTGGGGAAGAATAACCATACTACGATTAAAATCCTGCCTGATCCAAGAGACGGTAAGAATTTTGCATTGAATATTTAAATGCGTGTATATTTCATATCAACTAGTTGATTTTTCTAGTACGAAAATGCATTAAACTACAACAATAAACTTCTATTCTATCATATTATTAAATATTTTGATAAGGAGCATAATTTTAGTTTGAAAATAATTTTTAAACGAATTAAACAAATTTAACTAATATTCGAGATAGATGTAATTACATTTACCCTGTTTTGACCAATATTAAGTTCATTGTGGTTGCCAATTGAGATGAAACTTGTGAAAAAACAAATGTGAGAAAGTGGTCTTATAAAAAACAAAACACGTGAATTTGAGACAGAAAACTTTAATTAATCATAGCATATTTCAAATGACCATTACATTCACGTCAAACGCATGTGAGTTTGAAATGCGTTAAAGTAGTTAACTGTAACACGTAGCAAGAATTAAACCATAATATGAAAGGTTTTACGACCTACACAGAAGTCGATACTGATTTCATCAACAGACCAGACTACCGGATGTACACATTTTTCTGAGATAGCTCATATCGGAGAGCGTAACACTTAGCAAAATTTCTTAAGGAATTTTATCTGCATTGTAACATTTTGATAGCAACTATAACTGAAATTTCTTTTTATTTGATCAGAGAAAAAAGCTGTTACTGAATTTACATTCATACGTAATTAAAAAAAATATCGAGAATTTGTAACATATGCATAAGGTAAGGGAAAGGGTAAACATATAACGTTTATCATAATTATAAATATTTTCTAAAGGTATCTCTTGGATATCATATCACAGGTCTTTTTCAGACGAAAATTGTCTGTTAAAGTGATAAACGATTTCAGTGATCAATTACGTCGGAATAACATAACGTTTTATTGTAATTTTTTTTAAACTTTCACATGTATGGCAACATTCCGACAGCTCCTATACCTGATTCTTTTGGTATTTGATCCGAGAATTAACTTTGTTTCTGTATTTACTATTATGTATAATGCGATAAAAGTAAGTGAGGTTAATATTCTCTTTTTTTCTACAGTGCCTTCAATATATTTAGCTGAAAGTGAATTATTTGTGGATGAAAGTGATGGCTATATAGAAATCATTGTTTCGCGCACTGGTCCTGATCTCAGTATGTCTTCTACAGTGACAGTTCAGTCTCGCCCATCTGATCCAGTAACAGCAGAAGGTTAAAACACGTTTTTGATTACTCATTCCTTAATATTCTTATAACTTCTTTTGGCGTACANACTCTATTTGGAAGATAAAGTGCACTAGGAATTTAACTTTGCCGGAAATGCCAAGAGTCAATAAGACACTCCAGGGATTTTTTAGATGACGCATAATCATACGAAATGGCCGCTGAGGATTTTCTGCATCCCGAAAATCCGGTGTCTGGACCGGGGATCGAACCCGCAGACTTGGGCTCAGAAGGCCGACATCTTAGCATATTTCAAATGAGCATTACATTCACGTAAAACGCATGTGAGTTCGAAATGCGTTATAGTAGTTAACCGTAACCCGCAACAAAAAATAAACCATAATATGAAGGGTTTTACGACCTACACAGAAGCCTATACTCTACCGGATGTACACATTTTTCGGAGAGCGTAACACTTAAAAAATTTATTAAAGAATTTTATCTGCATTGTGACATTTTGATAGCAACTATAACTGAAATTTATTTTTATTTGATCAGAGAACAAACCTGTTACTGAATTTACATTTATACATAATTGAAAAAATATCGAGAATTTGTAACATATGCATAAGGTAATAGGTAAACATATAATGCTTATCACAATTATAAATATTTTCTAAAAATATATCTTGGATATCATATCACAGATCTTTTTCAGACGAAAATTCTGTTAAAGTGATAAAATCTTTCAGCGAGCAATTACGTCGGAATAACGTAACGTTTTTTGGTAATTTTTTTTAAACTTTTACATGTATGGCAACATTCCGACAGTTCTTATACCTGATTCTTTTGGTATTTGATCCGAGAATTGACTTTGTTTCTGTATTTACTATTATATATAATGCGATAAAAGTAAGTGAGAATAATATTCTCTTTTTTTTCTACAGTGCCTTCAATATATTTAGCTGAAAGTGAATTATTTGTGGATGAAAGTGATGGCTATATAGAAATCATTGTTTCGCGCACAGGTCCTGATCTCAGTATGTCTTCTACAGTGACAGTTCAGTCTCGCCCATCTGATCCAGTAACAGCAGAAGGTTGAAATGCGTTTTTGATTACTCATTCCTTAAAATATCCTTAGAAATCCTTGTTTTGGCACAAAATTATTTATCCCAGCATATCTTTTACAATCACAGTTTAGTCTCGACCATCTGATCCAGTAGCAGCAGAAGGTTAAAACGCGTTTTAATTATTTATTCCTTAATATTCCTATAACTTCTTTTGGCGTACAGTTATTTATTTTAGTATGTCTTCTACAGTGACAGTTCAGTCTCGACCATCTTATCCAGAAACAGCAGAAGGTTAAAACACGTTTTTGATTACTCATTCCAATATTCTTATAACTTCTTTTGGCGTACAGTTATCTATCTTAGCATATTTTCTAAAGTGACAGTTCAGTCTTGACCATCTTATCTAGAAATAGCAAAAGGTTAAAACACGTTTTTGATTACTCATCCCTTAATATTCTTATAACTTCCTTTGGCGTACAGTTGTTTATTTTAGTATGTCTTCTTCAGTGACAGTTTAGACCCGACCATCTGATCTAGTAACAGCAGAAGGTTAAAACGCGTTTTTGATTACTCATTCCTTAAAATATCCTCAGAAATTCTTGTTTTCGCACACAGTTATCTATCTTGGCATGTCTTCTACAGTGACAGTTCAGTCTCGACCATCTGATCCAGTAACAGCAGAAAGTTAAAACGTGTTTTTGATTGCTTATTCCTTAAAATATCCTCAGAAATCCTTGTTTTGGTGTACAATAATTTAGCATGTCTTCTACAGTGACAATTCAGTATCGACCATCTTACTTAAAATTAAAACTTTAGATTACCCTTACGTAAAACGATGCTTAACAAATTACAGTTTATTATTAAAATGTTATGTTGTAGTAGTACTTAGCTTACGTTGCGTTAGAGCTGTTCAATGGGCTCTGAGGATGATCCGAAGACATGGCATTTTTTTATCCTATTTAGGGGGGTTGGCTCAACTACTTTGATGAAATATGATGTAAGTGATATTGTTTATTTGTATCTCGCCCCGCCCTATTTAAGGGCATGCGAGAGTAGATACATACAACATACATAAAACTTACACAAAACATCAGAAATTATATCAACAACAAGAAGAAAAAGAATAAAACACAAGCGAACAACAGTTAAAAACATGACCCCAAATCCAGCCAACACATTGAAAATCGCAAAGATCATAATTAAAAGAGTAAAAACAATATATACATAAAAGTGAATAAAACATCCATATCGTGCGTGGTAAAAGCAATGCATAAAAGTAAAAGATTACATAAGGAACAAACTGGAATAAAATTTACAGTTGAAACATGACCCAAAACCAAGTCAAACATGAATAAAACCGATCATATAAAAGGAATAAGTAAAAGTGAAATATTACATTAAGAACAAATTGGGAAAAAAAACTAGCAGTTAAAAACATGACTCAAAACCAAGTCACACAGGTATAAAACCAATCAAATTAACAATAAACGTACATAAAAAAGCTTGAGACACCCAATTTGGAGTGCGGGGTTCCGAATCCTTAAGTGTCACCACCCAAAATATCTTCAAGTGTCTTTTTTATGATACATTTAATAATACCCCTGCAGGTCGAATTAGCAAAACATTGAATTTGATTGAAATTTTTAAAATGTTCTCCACGGAGTGTTCGGAAGCGTGGACAGTATAAAATTAAATGATCAATGCTTTGAATTTCTCCACAATAATTGCAATCAAGGGCTCTATTAAAAAATCTATTCTGATACTCACCGAACACTCCATGGCCCGTAAGAAATTGATTAAAATAAAAATTCGCCTGAAGTCTACTAATATTAGGATCCTTAATAAACTTATACGTTTGTCTGCCTTTCTCGGAATCCCGCCACTCCTGTTTCCAACGCATGAGATTATAGCCTTTGACCAATGTTTTGACTTGGGCGGTGGAGCTCGGGACCTCAATGTCAACATTGCCGAGACTGATGGCGTTTTTAGCAACTCGATCCGCCTCCTCGTTGCCTTCAATACCAATGTGGGCTTTTACCCATCCGAGAAGAATATTATTTTTCCAGATTTGTTTGGTGTTTTCTACCAATTCGGAATCGGGTTTAGGATTTTTTAAAGCTTGCAACGAGGAGAGCGAATCAGAGTAAATAGTTGCATTGGGATATTGGTTATTTGCAAGCCATTGTAAAGCAGTGTTAATTGCCATCATCACTGCAGTTATTGCTCAGTCTGATGGAGGTTGCCAGAATGAGTTTTCCATCTCTCCTGACTATCATTCCCATTCCTGTTCTATGTTCAGAGGTATTATTCATAGCATCGGCAACCTCCATCCGCGAGCCGTCCGTAAAAATCTCAATTCCCTTGTTAGTTGGGGTCAATCCACCAAAGGGGACGGATTTATAAAGAGAAGGGTGAATATTAATAACTGGTTTCTCGAGTATCGTTGCTCTTAGAATTTCTTGAATATTACGGTCGTATTCCTCAATTCTGTAATTCCATCTTAACCTCTTTATACAAGTATCCTCAATAATTCTTAAATGAATGGGTTTCACCCCCGCCAGTATCTGGAGGGCCTCAGTGCTAGTTGTTGAATAGGCCCTTGTAATCACTATTAAGGATGTTCTTTGAATGGCATTAATTTTATCGTTAATTCTAGTAGTGTTACGATACCAGACACTGGCGGCATAAAGTATGATTCTCTCCGTTGCTCTCTGGTAGATAATCTTTAAAATTTTTGGTTTCAGGCCCCAAGTTGCCCTGGCCACCCTCTTAATCAAATTATTAAATTTACCAACTCTCTCCTTAACGTGATTCAAGTGAGCTATCCAAGTCAATCCTGGGTCAAAGAGAATTCCTAGATATTTAAGAACTTGCACCTGCTTAATAGATTGTGTATGCTGATAACTCATCTTAATATTTGGTAACCTCCTTATTGTCTTCTTGGTTTTTGGAAAGGTTATACATTGTGTTTTGTTATCACTAAATTTAAGATTATTATTATGAGCCCAGGATGACAGTTCGGAGAGACAGAAGGTGGCCAATTGGTCAAAGCGATAAAGAATTGGATGTCTCAATAACAACAATATATCGTCCGCAAAAGCAATAATACGGCAATCTTCAACTTTCACATCATTAAACTGGCTAAAATTGATTCCATAAAAAAAGCTAAAAATTGAATTAACATAAATCAACCAAAGCACCGGGCCAAGTGACGAGCCCTGAGGAACTCCCATATTAATATTTCGTTTGAAGATATCATTGCCCTCTTCATCTCTATAGATAACCTCTCTATCCTTTAAAAAATCAAATATCACTCTAACTAGATTATCGGGCAATTCCAATTTGTTAAGCTCATTTTTTAAAGTTTTCCAATTTGCGTTATTAAAAGCGTTGTCAATGTCCAGAGCCACCCCGATGGTATGTTTCTTCTCTTTCTTTGCTTCCTCCACAAAAGATACGGCCTCATAGATAGCATCGTCAGTTCCTCTTCCAGTCCGGAATCCAAATTGGCCAGGGTCAAGAAGCTTTCTGCTTTCCAAATGATAAGACAGTCTCTTTGTTAACATCTTATCCATAATTTTTCCCCAGACGGGAAGCAGGGAGATTGGTCTATACGAAGCTGGTAAACTTTTATCCCTATCTGGTTTTGGGATCAGGGCGACTCTGGCACATTTCCAAGATGCTGGAAAAATATTCAATAGGAGGCAAATATTGAAAATGGCCAATAACCAAGCCCTATTTATGATAAAAATTTCCTAAAAAATTTCATTAAGTAATCCGTCAGGACCCGGCGCTTTGTTGCATTTAAAATCATTGACAATCGCCTCTAGTTCAGAATCAGTGAACGGCGGGTCATCAAAACCCCTCAATAAAGGATTCCCAGGGTCATAGTTGGTGTTAGGGAAGTGGTACGACATGATGACCTGTATCGTTTCCTCAAAGCTTGAAGCTGGAATACATATCTCATTTATAACCGGTTTGTGACTCTCCGCCCTCAGATCTTCCCCCTTTGCGATTCTGTAAGGTGCAGAAAATGCCCCGTTTTCATTTACTTTGTCTAGGAAGAGTTTTAGGTTAGTTATTTTGGCCTTTCTAATACTTTTTTTATAGATCGACAGCTGCCTTTTGAATTCAATTCTAAATTTCACACGCTCTTGGTCATCCACTGTCCGTTGGTATCGTCTTCGTAGCGCTCTTACATGCCGACGCATTTGGCCCAGAGCCGAATGCCACCATGAGGAATGCCGACGCCTTCCCGCAACTGACTTTAGTTTACTTGCGTTACATGCATTCACAACATCCTCTGTTATTCTCACAATACTGTTTTCCACTTGTTCTGGTGTCTCAATGAGACTGAGGTCGTGCATTTCTATGATATCTCGTAGTTTCATCCTGAGGGCTAGCCAGTCTAGTCTTTCAAATTTAATGTTACATTGTCTAGTTTTCTGAATGATCTCGCTCCTATCGATCCCCACAGTAATGAGTGCATGGTCGGAACAAGAAATGTTGTCATGGACCTCATATTGCGCCAGTTCCTTAATATTGGTGATAAAAAGATCCACCCAACTCTGGCCCAGGATAGAGTTAAATGTTGGCAGTCCATTAGGATCATTAACGACATCAAGATCATGTTGTGCGAAAAAGTTCAGAAGAACCTCTCCCCTGGCATTTGTAGTGGGACCCCAAGCTCTTGACTTTGCGTCAAAGTCTCCAGCAACAATCACTTTTTTGTCAGAGTGTTTGGTCAAGAGTGCTCCCAGGGTCAAAAGATTCCCCGTAATATCCTCATTTGGAGAAAGGTATACTGATATGAATATTATCTCCTCTCTATTCAAGTTAAAGGTGACTGCAACATCGTCACGTTCATTCATAACGTTAAACAGGTTATTTACCCCTTGCGCAGTTAAAATTGCTGCTCTTGGTTTTACACTCTTACCAGCGGGTGACCGAGCTCCGATCGGAGCGGAGAAAACAGGTATCGAAGCTAACTCGAAGATTTAAATTTTCAATTGTGATTTANCAGATCTATGATATCCTCATCAAGCTGGTGGTGAGCCACGATAGAGTGATGCAGGTTAATATGGCCGATTCTAAAATTATTATTTGGACTATACCCATAATGGACTATAACCCACAACTTAAGTATATGGTTGTCGTGATCAAAGAAAAAAGTCTGTGTTATAAAAATTTACCAATCAGAGAGTGTCGATATATTTTGCCATCGAGATGGTCTGTACAACATGCAAACTTGAGTTGAGACTGGGTTGTTATTTTTTTCAACTTAGATCATATCAGATGAAATTGTGCACTATTTTGGTTGCTTGTCAGGAAACAAGCTACTATTCATATACACTCTTTCATTTAAATCATATAACTGATTGGATTTACACGTTGATTAAAATGTAGTAGTAGTTAAGATATACTGCAGAAAATAATTAAATCTAGGACATGTTTTAAGGGACTGTATGGATTCTAGAGAACACCAAATATTGAAATAAAAGCAAAAGTTGTAGTTTGCGAAGCAATTGTCAAAGCATTTCCTATTTATAGTTCAAAAACATGGAAACAGATAAAAGGAAAAGAGAAAAAACAAAATCAGATACCTTAAATTAATTTTAAAAATTTTTATTTAATAAGACAACAGGCAAAAATTTTAGAAAAAAACCAAAGTAAAAGAGATAGAAGAAGACATGATTTCACGGAGATGGGACTGACTGGGTGAATTATTTATAATACCCAACGAAATATATCATATGATTCTGTCACATGGGCTCCAGAAGGAAAAAGAACTAGAGGAAAATTCAAGTTTACAACACAAGTCAATAAATGAGTAACAGCTCTTTGAAATTTCTGAATGGAATAAGGCCAAGTTTGTGCCTTATGTACCAGATGCTGAAGGCCTTATGTACCAGAAAGCACGAAAGAATAAGTAAGTAAGTTTTACTTATGGATGTTAAGTGAGACTATTTGTGCCAAAATAAGTGCATTTATCAGTTAGTATCCCACCAAAAGATAAGAAAAAAAAGATTTTGAAAAAAAAATTGTTTAATCAGATTGAAAGTAATTCATCCCTCACACTGGAAGAATATCGATGGTAAAAAGACTACTAAAAGGATTTTGTTATTAATATGCATTACATATTTCTTAGCTTTTAAATTTCTTTAATTACTCCTAATTCCTCTTTAAATAAATAAATCAATTAATTAATTTTATTCAATATCATAAGAAGCCGATGCAAATATTTCTAGTCTAATTCATGTCTAATTGTTGGTTGACTTTTTATTCCAATGCAAGTATGTAAATATTTATTATCTAATGTCACGACGAGCATCAATATCTATTTTAAACCTTCCTTTCAACGACCACACTAAACATTAGCATATACGTTATTAGATTTATTTTAATTTCTAGCGAACTTTTTAACCTTAAATCGGCCGCCAAATTATTTAACTATTAACATGAGATATCGTGAGGATGGTTGAATTGACTTTACTTTTGGCAGTGTCCTTCTTCTGATAATGTGCCTAGCTATATATCACCCTTGCACTCCAAACGAGTTAATTAAATGCCACTTTTGAATCGACTTTTGATTAGATAGATCGTGAGGGATTTGTCACCCCTGACCTATCCCTATTAATATTCTTCTTCAAAATGTATAATTTTATTTGAAATGTCACTTAGATAACAATATTCTTTTCATTTTGTACCTCGAGATCTGCAACGAAATAAACTTTTGTTAAGTTTACGATCCTGTTTTCTTCTATTTCAATCCCAACTGTTCACACCACCTGCCCAACATTTTCCATTTTAAACAATGGTGTGAGGCAGACTTTATGATTATTGAAAATGATGATTATTGAATTTCAAGAGACATGAGAGTTAGATAAATGCCTCTAGACAGAAAACGGGAGTGATTTTCAAAAAATATTTGTATGAAGACAAGTTGCTGCAATTATGCAAGAAAAGCTGTGAGCTACTTGTTAAATGTTCTAGAACACATGCTTGTCGAAATTGTATTCCGCATTAAACATATGATATGAGCAGAGTTTCGAATAATTAACGTTTGCTTTTCTTCTCTCTTTTATATGAGCCTATTTTTCACCAGGTGATCTAAACTTTAATTAAACTTTTTCCTTGCAGATTTTTTTCACGGTTTATATAACGTATATACTAAATATTATTAACACCTGCCAACCAGGGGATACTTTATGTTGATATGAAAAGGGGGTCATTAATTTTAACCATCGTGGGCTTAAAATATTGGGTCAACAAATGGTTTCCCTCTGTTTTTTTTCCAATTTTAACTTTCCTCGTGGCTTCAAATGTTTTTAGTTCACTCAAAAGTGAAGAAATGCTCTATTAGCAAGGATATGTTTTCTCTTTTTAATTAATGAATGTTGATTTTTAGTTCATTAAATTGATCAATTAAAAGGCCAAGTTGAGAAAATGAGTCACCCTTTTGCTCTTAATTAAGACTCTAAGGTCTCAGAAAAAGCTTTTCCTGACATTTGTGTTGTGTCACAAACAAGAGAAAGTGTAGACATAGCTGCAAAAAATCACTCGTCATAGATACGCCAAGTTTACTAGCTTTAAAATTTATAATTTTTAAAACGCATCTCATTTTTCTAATCGAGTTAAACTAGTGTAATGCAAATTAATCAAACTTTGCTTGAAAATTGACGTTATATATCAAGGTAACTGGCAGAGATGATGAAATTCTCACACATTGAAAGCGTTTAAAACATTTTAAAAAATTAACACGAATTTGCCAACCCAATATGTTAGATTCTTCGTATACACCAATTAGAATGGGCTCTTAACTTTATTAAAAATTCCCATCAATTTCTCTGGTGACAAAAAAGTCTTAAATAAACTAAGTATCAAAAATTATTCGATACTTACAATTTCTTTTCTCCACAAGAGAAATAAAAATGTTCTTCAAGAATATCATTTTATTGACATCAGAACATAAGTTGCCGAAGTATTGAAAGTCGATGAGAACTACCAAATATATCATAAAAGATTTAAGACATTGAGTACAGCACTTTATTTAACGCACAAGCAAAGAAAGTATTTATTTCATTTTATGTTACTAATATAAGATAAGAGAACAGATAGCAGACATTTATTAACAGTTAATGAAATGATGCTCTGAAGTTTTAGAAAGTAGGGTCCTGAGTAATGTTACCTTTCATTATAAGGCATAGCAGTAAAAAATAAATAGAAGAGGATTCATAAGAATCAAATGAGAAACGTAGAGACACGAGATAAGTAAAAAATATTACATTTATTTCAAACCTTCTCAACCATACATTCATAAATTTATTCATAAATGTTGCTACGTACAGTAAAGATTCATTTTAACTAGCCGCCTTTGGAGGCCAACCAGATCACCTTTCAATTATCCCAAACAGCAAACGAACTTTTATGGTAACCGTAAGAAAAAATTTACTAAAATTAAAAAAAATTATATATATATATATATATATACACATATATAATTACATACATATATAATNGTGTCCAACCGAGGCACACTTGAAGCATTGTCTCACATTTAGGGATTCCTCGAAACCATACCTCTTCCATCTGATGTTTAACTTGTTCCTATACCTTAACCTATTGTATGCCGTCGGCGTTATTTCCAAGATCCAGTTCCTCTTCCCACCTTTGGGTTTATGTGATGTCTTGATCTTTATTACCTCTCCTTCCAATTCAAAATTCTGGCTAGTCAAGCACTCAATTATTTCCTGTCCTTCCATCTCCTCCTCCACGTTGAAAACAATAATAGTTGGATGTTTTAATTTGGGTGGTTCTACGGTGAATTTTTCTGTTAGACCCTGTCTTCTCATTTCATCACTCAATACCTTAAGGTCCTCTGCATTATCCGTTTGAATCAACACTCCGCCATGACTTATATTAGTGATTCGCTTAATCCCTATCTTCATGCTAGCTGGGTTAAGTTCATGAACTATTTCAGATCTTGTTCTATCCGACGTTCCTCCCTCCTCTATAGGTTTTACTATAACGATGTGTTCCTTACTCTGGCTATTTGTCACAAGCGGTCTTCTCCAGCTTTTCTTTACTATTTCCGCATATGACCTACTGGCCATTGCGTTGCTTCTACTGTTGTCTTCAATGATGGGATCTATAACGGTTTCATTCAATTCCTGGTAATTATCTAACTTGGCCTTTAGTAGTGCTATTTGTGTGTCTTGTGTAGCCACAAGTGCTACCATCTCCGCCAAAATGCTCATAACAAAGTCCTTGTCAGCCTTATTCATTCTGCAACCATCCTTAAGTAGAACCGAATGAATCTTATTTTGTATATCCAGTGCTGGTGTGATTGTGGTATGCAAAACTTAAGCAACAAGTGGTTTTTCGGCCACTGCTCCCCAACAAAGTGTAAGATAGCCATGAAATTGCAGTATAATACGCACGTAATTCAGTAGAAAGATTATTTGCATGCAAATTTTAGAAATAAAACATCGTAGGTGATGTAAGTGTGCGTAAACCTTGTGAGTCGGTGTGCGCAGGTCTAAGCTGTGATAAAAGGATGAAGAGCACCGTAGTTAAAGACATTCGCTGCAAGTGATTTGTTTTGTGAAACAAGTCTTAAAGAAATCATTTAGACGACTTTACTCGAGGAAGAATGATTGGGAAGCTTGAGGAGGGGCGTAGTGTAACCAGTGTCGCCGAAGAGTTCGGGATCAACAAAAGTGTTGTTTCTCGTGTTGGAATGCCTTTAAAACTACTGGTACAGCTGTTCGGAAGGTTGGTGGTGGCCGTCCAAGGAAAACAACACCAAGAGATGACCGTTACATTGTCCTCCAGACGAAAAGAAACCGTTTTCAGTCAGTGAGCGTCATAT